TAAGAATTATTTCTATTTAATATAAAATATATGACTTTACATAATGTATGCTATATAATATATGATATATAAATGTAAATAACAATATCTGTTTATTTATAAAACTGAGATTTTTCTCAGTTTTAATTTGACATGTGAACCCAAGGGGGAAAAAAACCTTAAACTTAAAAGCTGGAAGTATTTGCAATAAGATGAGTTGTTTAGCTAAGTAAGCAGTTCTCTAGCACTTTGAAGGTTTAGTTTTGATTATGTGGATGTGGATGTGTCCATGTGTGTGAATCCAGGTGCCCAGAGAGGCCAGAAGAGGGTGTCAGGCCCCTGAGAGCCGCCTCACCTGGGGGCTGGGAACCAAAGGGCTCCTAACCGCTGTGCCAGGGGAGCTGCGGGTGGGCGGCCGTTCCCACAGCCTCTGGAACCTCTGCTGCCATTTCTTCCTAGGACTTCCTGATCATGTTTGTGCATCACTTGGCCACCATCGGGCTCATCACCTTCTCCTACATCAACAACATGGTCCGCGTCGGGAGTCTGGTCATGTGTCTCCACGACTCCTCGGACTTCCTGCTGGAAGTAAGAGCCTGACCTGCTGCCTCGCCATTCCTCCCCCTTTCTGGACTTGTGAGAACTGACTTTCTCCCCAACTCAATTTTTCTTTTGTCCAGGCTGCCAAGCTGGCCAATTATGCCAAATATCAGCGCCTCTGTGACACCCTCTTTGTGATCTTTAGTGCAGTTTTTATGGTCACTCGTCTAGGAATCTACCCACTGTGGTAAGTGCTCAAGGCTGTGAACTGTGGTAGGTATCTCATGATACCTTTTGCCGATATAGTTTTTCTATCTGTTCTTGCCAGTCAATTACTAAGAACCCCAGTGCCCTGCCTTTCCCTGGACCTAGGCTGACCCTTTGTGGACTCTTACAGGACCTCAGCTGCCTTGTGCAGTGTTTCTAGTGAGTCAGGGTGTGCATGTTGTTCTTCTGGCTTTTCCTGCTCATTTCTGCTGGCAGTCTTCACCATGCTTGGGTCACTCAGCACTCCTTTGCCCTCTTGCGTTGGTCCCAGGGATTCTGGCTTTGCTTGCTCTGCCCTTGCTGTATGCCCTCTGCCTCATCCTGAGCAGCACAGACAGGTGCGTGCGTTCCCTTCTATACTCATTCCCTAGACTACGGAGTTCGTGACTGAGTCCCAGCAAATCAACCACTTGCTGCCCCCTGTACCTAAGAATCTAAATCACGCCTAGGATTTGACTATAGGCCTATTGCTGTCCAGGTGTTGTGCAGCTGTGTACTTGAGGTGATGGATAGTGAGCTGCCCCATCACTTCCTAAGAGTCCCTC